ACACACACACACACAACACACACACACACATATATATATAGAACCTACTATATATTATATATATATATATATATATATATATAAATATATATATTTATACATATACATACATACATACATACATACATACATAAGTACATACATATATACATACATACGTACATACGTACATATATGCAGATATACATGCATAATTATACATTTATATGTGTAGAAATTAAACATCATCGTCAAAATGAACAACTATATTACTAGACTTGACCATGTACTATCCATTACTGCACAACACAGAAACGCACAGAAAATACTCTCTAGATATCAAGTTACCACACCTTGCTTCTTTATACCCCTCAACACCTTGTTAGTGATCGGCTGAAACATTGCATACTGGGGTCTTCCCATCAACCCCTTCTCCACGCCAACAGTTTGTGTGCGAGATTTGGACTGGGCAGTCCATTCTTCGTCGTTGCACTGTAGCGCCAGCAGTAGGTCACTGTGTGTGATGTTGTGGATCATCACAGCATTCGCCATCTTGCCAGAAGATGTCTATCAACTAACTGTTGTATACACGCTAAGTTATGGCGGCGATGAGTACGCTAATCACATACCTCTAAGACCTATGTATCCATTTATCCATGTTCTATGTAGTGCAAGAGACCTAAAAGCAGTAGTGCATAGTAGCCATAAAAAAATAACAAATAGTAAAATCGAAGACCTTTCGAGGAGGCTATGAAATTGAGCTGGCTCACAAAACCCAAATACAGTTCAAACTCTAAAAATCCAAACATAGTCTCCTGAAAATAGAACACGAAATACCAATTGAACCCCTGAGGCTGAACCGCCAATAAAAACCCTAAGACTAAATCACCAGTTAAAACCCTAGGGCTAAACCCTGAAAATCATGAACTTCGAGTCTTCGACTCGAGTGACCTTCTGAGTTCTGACCGACCGATTCTATTCGCTGATATAGAGGACATGGAATTAGGTGCAAGTCCAGGATTCCAAATTTTCAAAATACACTGCGTGCATGTAAACGTTTACGTTCAACTTTATATCATTTTAGTTTTTAATGGGTCCCAAAAGTTCATATGTAACTGCTAGCTATAAATAACTTATATACATAGTTTAAATTGCACCAATAATTGCGAATTGGTTTACAGGATGACCAATAAATGACGCTATATTGAAATATAATGGTAGTTTTATTACGGGCCTACTAAAACTTGAGAGAGTATATGAGAGTACGAGACTATCATTCAATAGCCATCACTGACCACTGTAACTGTTGCGTATATATATCAGAATCATTGAATCAATCATCATGATACTACTATAGAGTATAGTCTTTTTGTTTTATAAAAACTCTGTATTCATAGTAGCGTAATAAAATAAGAACTAAAAAAATACGAGCAGTATAAATAAAATGCCACGCTCAGTTGCTATGCTTCATTTATATAGATTAGAACAGGTATTAGAAAGGTAGCGAAGCCTTTGCACCGCTCAAACGAATTATTTAAGAATATACTACTATTGATAAGTACGAATCCTTTACCATGACAAGTATTCCAAAAGAAAGCGATCCTCAATTGGTGCCCGATTTTGGTGAGTTTTACTGTAGAATTGATTCCGATTATGCACATATCTTTACAAATATGTACAAACATACACGTGTCCACACACACACGCACACTAGTGTCCACACACACACACACACACACACACACACATACACACATACACACACACACTATATAATATATATATATATATATG